ACTGTAATCCTGGCACTTGGGAGGCTGAGGCAGGAGGATTGCTGCAAATTTTAGGCCAGCCTGGGATGCATAGTGAGTTCAAGGCCAAACTGAACTACATGGTGAAACGTTGCTTCAAAAAAACAAAAAAAAAAAACAAAAACAGGATAAAGTAGAAACTTTCATAGGTAAGTGGATGCTCCTTGAGCCCATAATATGAAGTAAAATAAATCAGAAACATAAGCTTAAATAGGAGAAGGGGTTGGGGAGATAGTTCAGCGGCATAAGCACCTGCCTGGTAAGTGCAAGGTTGTGTATTTGATCCCTGGTACCAAAAAAGCAATTATCTCTTATATGAGAAACCCAAAACATAAATAAACAAAGAGTAATAATAAGTAGGAAGATCTTTTTCACATGGGAAGGGGACAAAGAGGGATAGCAGGTATAGGGGATGAGAAAAAAGAATTAAGATGTTTATATACATTTACCAACTCCCTGTGATAAATGATATTAAGTAGAATAAAACATAAGCTTAAATGTTCCGTGGTTTCTCATATATGAAAAACCCATATAAATATAAAGAGATAGGAAAATCTTTCTATTATAAACCACACCAGGAAAATGTATCCTTTATGGCATAGTAGTGCTCCATTGCACATAAATACAATATCTTCTTTATGCATTCATCTGTTGATGGATATATAGCCCATTTCCAAGATGTAGCTATTAGAAGCTGTGATGCTGTAGCTGGGCATAGTGGCACATTCCTGTAACACTAGAACTGGGGGGACTGAAGCAGGAGGATCACTGTGAGCTCACAGCTAGCCTGAACTACATAGCTAGACCTTGTCTCAAAAAAAGAAAGAAATTATGGCACTATGAACAAGGATGTGCATGTATCAGTATAGTATGATGACTTTTCTGGGAGGATAACTAAAAGTGGAGTAGTTGGGTCAAAAGTAGTTGGGATTTCTGTTTTTGTTTTTGGCAAAATCGTCCTGATTTCTGTGGTAGTTCTATTTTACATTCCCACCAACAATGTAGAATGGTTCTGTTTTTCCTGCAGCCTTTCCAGCATTTGTTTTTATTTGATTTCTCATTTTCTCTTCCTCTCTGGAGTAAGTTGGCATCTAAGTGCTTTAATTTGCATTTCTCTAGTGCCCTGGGATATTGAGTACTTTATCATATATTGGTGATTTATCCTTCTGATAAATATGCATTCATTTCACTTAACCAGTTTTTCATCAGGTCTTGCATTTTGGGGAAAGAGTTCTAAAGTTTTTGAGTTTTGTTTTGAGAAACAGTGTACACAGTTTTCAATTAGAGTTTATTGGTACATTTTAGATATATATATAATGATCAGTAGAAAATTTGTACCTGTACATTGTATAGCTTATTTTTCTTCCCATTCACTTACCCTCCCTTTAGCCCCCCTTCTTCTCCGCATCAAAAAGCTTTGTTTCTATGCTTTCTTTTTTTTCTCCCTTTTATAAAACTTTTTCCTTCTTTCTTTTTACTCACTGCTCTACATTGTCCCCTCCCCATTTGAACATTGTCTTCCTATTTCACAGTATCTATTATACATTTTAGTCCTTACCTATTGGTTTCTCATACTAGAGAAACAATGTGGTATATACACATTTATTTCACTTAGGAGTATGGACTGAAGGT